ATTTTAGCCTAGCCAGTTGTGCAAACCAATGTTCCCTCTAATTTTTTTTCAGTGTGAGCGGAAAAGTATAGTCTTTGAGTGGCACTTTTCATGCCTGGCATTCATCAGGCTGAAACCTCGCTAGCAATCAGCGCTTGACGCTTGGAATGTTGCGCAAATGTCCAGCAGACGTGACAGCAGTTCAAACTGTGGATCTCTTAGGTGCTCAGGCATGAAACTGTACCGCTCAAACACTATACTTTTCCGCTCACACTGAAAAAAAATTAGAGGGAACATTGGTTTGCACAACTGGCTAGGCTAAAATGTGATGGGCTGAGTTGTATCTCAGTGTGTTGTGTGAATACAGCTGGGGATATGTGAACACTACAAATGGAAATTTTTCTCCACTTGTCTGTCAGTAAACTTGACCTTATCCTGCTACCGCACAAAATATATCAAATATTTTTGCTCACTGTCCAATTTAGGATTGATGTTAGACAGGGGCCTTAGTTTAGTAGCGGACACCTATTTTGCTCAAGAGGGATTTGAGCTCTGGCCTTTGCTGAAGAGGGATTTCTGGTAAGACTAAGACTCCTGCCTTAAAACCTTAGAGAATTGAGCCAGCTGGATGAATGGCCCAAGATGTGCAGAGGCATTTTCCTATAGTCTTTTTGTCAGGGGTGTGGGCAGGAAATCGGGATTCTTAATTGTTATTAATTTCCCAATTGCTGTAAAACCAATTTAGCGGCCCATGAAAGCCATTTTTGCACTGAATTAAACTATTTATTTGCAATAAGTGAGTCACACTATGCATACCATACCCTTAATGATCTCCTTTGGGCTTTAGGATTGCTACATTCTGGACCACAGTGGGATGAAAATCTATGTCTGGAAGGGGAAAGGAGCCACTAAAATGGAGAAACAAACAGCCATGTCGAAAGCTCTGGTATGGTGGAGTAATCCATTCCAAGTCAAATTGCCGCTTTTGAAACCCAGGGGTGGGCTTCAAAAATTTTAGCAACAGGTTGTCTGCCTGGTTGCTGGGTGGGCGTGGCCATGGTGGGCATGGCCTAGTCAGCCTCCTGCACCATGGAGGGGGGGGAGGGGATGGGGCATTTTCACCCTCCCCAGACTCTGGAGGCTTTCTGGAGGCCAGAAATGGGCCCATTTCCAGCCTTCCGGAGCCTTTGGGAGGCACATTTTTCGCCCTCCCTAAGCCTCCGTGCGGGTCCTGCACTTACCTGGCATCCAAAATGGGCCCCGTGGAGACTCCTTAGAGTGGCAGGGTGGGGTGGGCGGGGTGAGCCAGGAGTGAGGTTTGGGAGTTTGCCGTACTCTGCAAAATCTTTGCTACAGGATTGTCTGAACCTGGGTGAACCTGGAGCAGTCCACCCCTGCCTGCTTTCCAAATATTTCTCTTTTAAAAACTAGATTCTAANAGCCAGGGATGGGATTTGCAGGTTCTCCGAAGTGGGTAGATTCTTAGCTAGAGGTTCTCCTGAACCCGTGCGAACCTGCAGCAGCCCACCCCTGACCTTGCCCAGACTATAGTTAACGCAATCACAAACTAACTACCAAGGTATTAAAACAGAAGGAACAGCTAAAGAATCACACAACTGAATGAGGGTCTGTTTGGATGAATTTAGACATGCTTATGCATCAGTTATTTGTAGTAACTTGGGCGGTCCCTGCATTAGAGATGATATGGTAATTGTCTCTATTGAGATGTGTCAGAATGGGAAGTATTGCTATAAGTGTTTCATTTGTGATGGTTAATTTACACTTAATCAATCAATTAATTAACATTTACTTGTGTGGCCTCACGCTCATGCTTCACACTGGATACTCTGGGAAGAATTAATCAAATCTACAAGAAATCCTAAAAGAAATAGTTCAGGAATTGTGCCACTTCCAGCACTCAAACTAACCAAACAAGCAATCTTGTCGTCTTTTCTAGTGTTACAGACTCTGGAGGAAAAATAGAAATTACAGAAGAAGCCAGACGTCCTCTCAGGCAGGAATTATTAAACCACAATGTAAGTCTAAGATTGAACATGGCATAAATGGCGCTAAACTGAGCTCGAATACATCAACAGAATAGTCAGTTGGATTATTACATAAAGCGGATTGAAGGCCTACATTCTTTTGCTAACAATTGTTTTCCTAGAAATGTTTAACTAAAATCCAAACATATGGCAAACATATGATGGCACAAGATGAAGAGATACGTGTGTGTTTGCTATGGTCAATTTAATCAGTTTAGTCAGAAAACCCTATTTTCTGGCAAATGATACTCTTGAACATAGCTTGGGTTTGCACCACTGTTCCCTCTAAGGTGCGCGCCTGCGCGGCTGCGCACATGGAAAGAAATCCCCGCGCAGCAGTTTCTAACTGCCGCGCAGAGATGTCTACCAAAGCAAACTTGGGGAAGTCCTTTGCAGGCGGCTAGAACTAGTCTTCATTTAATTACTTGTATTGTAGTCTGATGTAACATCTTTTTAAAGTTAACGTTNACATTTTTCTTTTTTTATTAATATTTTTATTGCATGTTTTTCTTCATTTTACCTCACAGTTTCAACTTTGCAACAATGATATACTGATTATATCAGCAACTTGTAAGCTATACATTATGTTATATATCCTAATTATGTCCATTTTTCTCTTATTCATACAATATAGTCAACATAAAAAAGAATAAAAAACATAGGAACTTGCATACGACAAACTTATATCTATTGTTTCCATGGTTCTAACATAGTTCTCTATACATTTATCATTCTATATATTTTAATTTACACTTTTGTACATTCTGGTAATAATATTGCTTACAATACGTATTCTTCTATATAACTTTATACCTGTATTTATTTCTGGTTTGTTAATCATCTTTCATCATTAGCTTTCTAGACTTTGCATCTATCATCTAACCAATTGTACCATAAGTCCCATATTAAATAATGGGACTCTCCTTTATCTTTAATTTCCATCATTAACGTGTCCATTTTGGCGCATTCTAATATTTTCTTTATTACCATTTCCTCTGTAGGTATGCTTCCATTTTTCCAATTTTGTGCATACATGATTCTAGCCTCAATTATTTACATGTAGTATTAAATATTGATTTTTAAAATTATATTTCCCTGTTAGTATGCCTAATAGGAATAGTTCTGGTTTTAAGTCTATTTGTTGTTTCACCATTTCCTCTAACCACTTTTTTTTTTATCTCTGCCCAATATTTTTTCGTTTTTTTCTTTATCAAGCAAAACCCCGCAAAATGGTTGTGATGTAGAAAGAAAAGTAGACAAATTGTTATCTTTAATCAAAGCAGCCATTTATGCTGTTTCAGCCAGTGCCATTCACTTCACAATCCATTCTTCCATTGTGGGAATTTGTATATCCTTCCACCTCTTTCTTTTTTAGCAGTTCTCATATATGAGAAGAAAATCCACATATTTCCTCTCAGTTTGTTTAGCCATCAAACCTAAAAAGAAAAGCTTCTAGTTTCAACTGTACATCAACTTTCAGAATTTTCAGCTCAGCAAACTTTTTGATGGCAATATTTATTAGCAGTTTTATAAATCCACCGTGTGATAAAAAGTACCTCCACATTGGTTATGTTTCCAATATTGTTTAACATTCCCTCTTTGACAAATTATTAGGCATTAAATACCAACGATAAATCATTTCTTTTTTTAAAAAAATCTTTCAAATTATAATTCCATGTAATTTTCACTCCGCTTCTTTGCAATTTTCCCATAGCCGAAGCATAATGTTATATCCTATTATTTTTGCCCATATAAACATACAATCTTTAGCAGGTTTATCTCACTGTTTGAAGTTCAGTAACAATTTTTATACCTTGCTAAGGTTTTTTTTAAAAAATATCTAGAAATAGCTAATTAGTTATTAAATTGTTTGATAGATGCCAGGAATTAAAAGGGAACCTGGTCATATCAGTGTTCGAAAATTTGTCAGCTAAATGTTGAAAGTGTAATCAGATACTAGGTTCGTATTATCATATGTGGTGGACATGCACAAAGGCAAAAAATACTGGACTAAAATACATATATGGTTAGAAAAAACAATAAAGCAACATATAGATTTGAAACCAGAAATATTTTTGTTGGGTATCCTACCAGAACAATAAAATAAAGGGAATACATATTTCATTTTACATGTATTAACGGCAGCAAGAAATGTGTTTGCATAGCAATGGAAAAATGAAGAGATCCCTGCAGAAGAAAGTGTTATTAAAACAAAATTAGAATGTGCTGAGATGGATAGATTAATGGATAGATTAATACTCAAAATAAAATAAAAGGGAGAAACAGAATACTTCTTAAAATGGGACTTGTTTTATCAGTGGCTAACCAACAGAGATTAGAAATTAAAAAGATTAAAAGGATAATTAATTATATACTGATTTTTTTAGGATGGATAAGCTAATTGTACTATTACTATATTACTATGAAATATACTATGCATGTTATGATTATAATAGTAATTGTTGCTGTATGTCTATTCAAAATGAATTGTACCCAGACAACACGTTCAGATAGATATGGAGTTTGTGATGTTGTGAGGCAACATTTTTTTTAAAAAAACCTTGGAAGTACAAATCTACGGTGATTCTTGGTCATCCAGGTCATGGTTGTCCCAAAGGTGCTTTTTCAAGAGGGAACTGGACTTTCTGGGTTTTTTTTTTCTTTTGAAGGTATTTCGCTTCTCATCCAGGAAGTTTCTCCATCTCTGGATGGATGGTGGGGAACAGAAGGATTTATATTCCTTGCAGACAGCTGGTCATTTGCATCCTCTTAGAGAGTCCTTGAGGCCACCTGGAGGTTTATCTGGGTCCTCAAGGCTCAGCTGAGTAGTGCAAATGGATGTGGAGCCTTCTTGGCTGCCGGAAGTTTTTTATTTGGAAGTACAAATACTGAGACTCCATAACACTGGAAGAGTCATCCTGGGCTCCCCACAGGCTTTCTGTCCACTCAACTTTCTTCTCTTCAGAGTCTGAGACTTTTGCTTCAAGCCGCAGCCTGATTAGACGCCTCCAATTGCTCTTTCAATTTCTGAACCGCTCTTGCTTTCTACTTGGACATGTTGATGCGTTGACTTTAGGAGACTTCTGGGACCTCCCCACACAACACAATGCCCCTTGCTGTAAAGAGAGAAAATGGAGAAGTCAAAACCCCAGGTAGGCAGGAGAGACAGCTGCCAAAGGGGAGAAAGACTTGCAACAGCCCTCTGCTCAAAGAGCAATTCCCTGAGGAGTGAATTCCCAGGGAAGGGTCTTCATGTTGCTCCCACTGTTTCCTTCCCCTTCTCTTTCTCATCCCTCCACCTCATTACTATCAAGGACTTTTTTCCCTGGATTTCCCAGCATATATTTCCAGTCCCCTCATTTCTTTCTCTCCCTCCCCTCTGGTCCTTCCTGAACAGAAATCCCCCTTTCACTGAGATATCCCCACCCCCTCTCTGCCTCCTTTCCTGTTTCCCTCTCCTCCCTTGGAGCTCTAGGGGGAAGGGGCTGAACTGTGCCAGATCTTCCCCACAGAGCAACCAATCAGAGGATCCCCAGCGAGAGGGGCTGAGCCCCAGGGGAACCCAGGCAGCCCATGATCCCTCCATGGCTGCCTTTGGAAGACTCTTGAGGATGAATCCCTCCACCCCAACCACTCTGAGGGTCTTGGTGTCAACGTTTAAAGCGTTTTCATGACTACCATCAACTTGAGAAGGGGGGAAAATGCCATGCATACTTTTGGCCAGAGTAAAAAGTCTCATTTCTGTAACTGGGATGTGAATGTGCATGTCCAGAACCCTGCCATAAGATCCTGTTGGAGAATGTGATTGATGACTTTAGGCAGAGGGAAAGGGACACAGGGGTAAAGTTCAGACACCATTAAGTGGGATTTAGTTTCGGCTCCACAGAAGTCAGTGCCAAGATGTTAGTCCTAATAAATGAATGGTTTTTTTTAAACTTTGTCTGGAGGCTCATAAATTAATTAGGTCAACTCTTGGAAACTTCACACTTGGCTTATTGCAAGCGAAGAGTTTTGTCTAAATAGACTTCAGTCACAGTCAGACTTACCTCTGATGTTATTTCGGGTTGGTCGATCACCTGGCTCTCCTCTTCTGTACCATGAAGAAGGGGACAAGGAACCCCTAGAGAACCCTGATCAGGAGAAGTTGGCACTTCCTGGGAGACATTTTCCATGCGTCTCCACCAGCAATCTGTTTAGATGGCAAAAAGAGAAGTTGGTTAGCTAATTTCTGGGACAGAAACTCCTCTGTGGGCTGAAGAAGAATTAGTGCTGAACACTTCTTAAGGGCCTAGATGGGCATTCTAACCCAGCATCTTAGGAAAGAGGCATGTGTGCCCCAGAGGTGGTCTTCAGCAGGTTCTGACCAGTTCTGGAGAACGGGTAGCAGAAATTTTGAGTAGTTTGGAGAACCGGTAAATACCACCTCTGGTCCTGCCCCCATCTATTCTCTGCCTCCCAAGTCCCAGCTGATCAGGAGGAAATGGGATTTTGCTGTAACCTTCCCCTTGAATGGAGAGAGAATGGAGATTTTACAGTATCCATCCCCTGGAATGGGGTGGGAATGGAGCAGTGGTGGGTTCCTGCCAGTTCTAACTGGTTTGGTAGAAGAGGTTCCAGAAATCTACCGTACCAGTTAGAACCCGTTCCTCACACAGCGCCTGTCTCGCCCCCCTTGCTTGCTTTACCCGCCCGTTCTTTTGCTGCTCACGGGTGATAGCTTGCTGGGCGTGACCAGCTTCCTAGGACCTCCCCGAACTTGCCTGGGAGGCGTGGCCACCAGTAAAGCACAGGAGCATTCCAGGGTGTTTCCCCCCCCTGGTTCCCCACCTCCCTTCCTGCCAAGGTGTGGTTTCAAAAGTAGTCTCCCATCCCTTGTGCCCGGCTCCCGCTGAGCTCTGGGAAGCAGGAGAAGAGCCTTTGGTGAGTCAGGAGGAGGAGGAGAAGGAGGCACGCACGCAGGGCCATGCCAGCTGGGCAACTGGCGCTAAGAAAGCGCCCCACAGCTTTTGAAGGGAGGAGGAGCGAAGGAAATGGAGATTACAGAAACCAGCACCGCCGCCATAGTCTAAAGCTTTCAGCGGCTCCAGACGGGTGAGAGGGGGAGCAGAGACCCAGGTGGTTTCCTTCGCTCCCCTTGCAAGGGAGTAGTAGGCGTCGTTTTTGCATTCCTGCCTCCGCTGGACTTTGCGCTCTTCTCCGCGCTCTCCTTGGCTCCTCGCGACTGCAAAAGACATCCAGAAGCAGTGGGGGCTGTTGGGCTGGAAGCCCAAGCCCCATTAGCCCCAAAAGCCGCTTCTGGACGTCTATTGCAGTCGCGAGGAGCTGAGGAGAGCGCGGAGAAGAGCGTGAAGTCCAATGGAGGCAGGAAGGTTCTCGGCGCTCCGGGAAGCCATGAAAGCGGCTGGGAGAGACGTGCCGCTCCAGGGAGCTAAACCAAGCCACGCACCTCTCCAAGCCCTTTTCACGGTTTCCCGGAGCGCCGAGAACCTTCACTTCCTGAGGGAAGAGGCTGGGAGGGAGCCGCTTAGGTAGGGCACTGAGGCCCTTTCGCCTCCCAGCCTCTTTGTCTTGATGACATCGCCGCAGCTGCTGGGCGCAGACAGACGGAGGTAACTGGAGCGGAGTCGAGGCGGTCCAGGCAGGTGAAAGAGCAGTTGTGGCGACGTCATCAAGACAAAGTGGGAGTGAAGAAAACCCAGACCTTCCAGTCTTTTCTGCACTCCAGGGGTTGGGATGAGGGAGGAAGGAAGAGACGAAGCAGCAACAGCTTCTTTTCCCCGCGAATTCAGTTCAAAGGAAGAGGGAGGGGGAGGCAGGAAAGGGAAGCTCCCAGTGGGGAAATGCGCGGTCTAACCAAACTCTTGCAGAATCATTCTGCCATCATGGCTGGGCGGGTTCTCCATCGGCCAATAAAGCAGGACGGTGCTATCGCGGGAGCCAGAAGGAAGGCGGCAGAGGGGACAGGAGCGGCGGTGGCGGCGCCGTTCGGTTTGGCTGGGCAGAGCGGGCGCCTGAGGAGAAACCGAACGGGGCTGCTCTGAAAGAGTTGAAGCGCTTCCACTTCCTCCTTGCCACCTCATCTTTGCCAGCACTCAGGTGCCCTTTTCCCGCGATCGGTCTGCACCTGCCGTCCAGCTCCCACTCCGCAGGAAAAAAGGCCTCATTGCTCCCGAAAAGCATGGCGGCGGGGGCGTGGCACAACATAACCGTGAATGTCAAAAGCGCCCCGACAACACTGCGGCGCTAAAACCGCGATGTCAAAAGCGCGCCCACAACAGCGCGCTGACAACAGCGTGCCGACAGAAGCGCAATTTAACTTAAGGTAAGGGTTAGGGTTAGGTTTAGGGTAGGTTTAGGGTAGGTTTAGCGTTAGGTTTAGGGTTAGGTTTAGGGTTATTTTTAGGGTTATGTTACAGCGCGCTTCTGTCGGCGCGCTGTTGTCGCGTGGTTTTGACGGTGCGGTTTTGTCACCGCTCTTTAGTCACACGCGCTTTAGTCTACCACTGTTTTGTGGTGGAACCGGCGGGGGAGGAGGCAGCGGGGGTAACGCGGGGCCTACTCAGGTGCTCCGAGCAGAGGGGGTGGTGCCACTGTACTTGCCACAGGCAGACGCGCCAGCAAGAGCTTCGGCGGCTTCACCTCAGCCACAGCGCCGGGTGGTAAATCTGGCGGTGGTGTTGGAGGAGGATGAGGCAGTGGAGGAGAAGGAGGTGGCAGTGGCAGTTATTCTGGTGGCAGCGGGGGCTCAGTGACATCTTCCGCAGTGGCCGGTTCGGCACCAGCCCTGGTGAAAAAACTGAAGATGAAGCAGATCTAGGCTGATGAAGTCACCGCAGTTGCCGGGTCCAGACGGAGGTAGCCAGAGCGGCACCGTGGCAGTTTGGGCGGGCGAAAGAGCAGCTGTGGCGAAAGAACAGCATGACTGGAGGAAGAAAACTCAGGGGTGTTCAAAGTTGGTAGCTTTAAGACTTGTGGACTTCAACTCCCAGAAGCTGCCAACTTTGAACACCCCTGGGTTTTCTTTTCCTTCGCCTGGGATCGGGTGGGAATGGAAATTTTACAATAACCTTCCCCTGGGATGGGGTGGGAATGGAAATTTTACAGTATTTTCCCCCTGGGATGGGGTGGGAATGGAAATTTTACAGTAACCTTCCCCTGGGATGGGGTGGGAATGGAAATTTTACAATATCCTTCCCCTGGATTGGGGAAGGAATGGGGATTTTACAGTATCCTTCCCCTGGATTGGAAAGGGAATGGAGATTTTACAGTATCCTTCCCCTGGAATGGTGAGGGAATGTAAATTTTATAGTATCCGCCCCCTGGATTGGGGAGGGAATGGGGATTTTACAGTATCCTTCTCCTAAAGTGGGGAGGGAATGGAAATTTCAGAGTAACCTTCCCCTGGGATGGGGTGGGAAGGGAGATTTTACAGTATCCTTCTCCTGAAGTGGGAAGGGAGATTTTACAGTATCCTTATCCTGCCACACCCACCAAGCCACGCCACAGAACTGGTAATAAAAATTTTTGAATCCCACCACTGGTGTGCCTCCATTGGTGGCCATTTTCCCATATAGACAGGGCAAAAACTGTTGGCTTTCAAGAGGTGGTGACCATGGGGAAATGAAAATGAACATTTATTGGGGTTATTGAGGAATAATCAAGTAGTCCTTGTTCCTATCAGAGCTCCTAGAGATAGTAGATATACAGTCCTGTTTTTCCACCACCACCAGCAATGAAGCCATTCAAAGCTGGCCAGCAGAGCTGTTCCCAACAGACTGTGGTACTAAATCATCATCATGAACTTTTAAGCAATGATGCTCAACCTCTAGGAATCATGTCATTGGTACAGGACAGATGGTATTATTCCCCATGGTAATCCAATTCTCAGGACATTTGTTTTGATGTTTACCCTAAAGCCTTCATCTCAATCTAACCAGATCTAAGAATCAGCAAGCTTGGCTGTTCTTGAAATGCCAGCCTGGGGATCAGTGGGCTAGACAAGCGAGACTAGTCAACAAGTCAAAAGGTCCATCCTGGAAGAAGGAAATAGCAAGGCTCTTCCAAATTCTTGCTGAGAAAACTACATGGATGTGTTGAGTCGCACTTGGTGAAGCTCAACTGAGGAGACACGTCCTGCACCCTCCCTCCCTCTCACATCTCTTACGCTGAATAGGAGCAGAGGAAACAGCAACACCTTCCACCATTGGATATTCCTTCCAGTTGTTGTCTGTCCCAAGGTGTGACAGCTAGCAGAGGGCAGGGGGACCCTCCCTCCACTGCCTCAGCCTTCCATCAGAGCTTCCCTGAGGGTCCCACCTGCCAAATGAGATGGCACATGGGTCTTCTTTGGGGTGGGATTATCGGTTTTCTACCACTTCCTAGATCATATATTAGACTTTTCTTTGATTCTTGAGCCCCTAATATTTGGTCCTCTGAAGAAAGTCTGTTAAGGCCAAAGAGGGTTCCTCCAAGACAAGAGGAAGGTGGAACATACTGAGATTTAAATGGAAATAAAAAAATAGCTGCATAGCTTCTTCTTCCTTTCTGACTCCTGTTCCAAATGCCCCTTTGTGGGGAAGAGGATTTGTGTGTGGGGCAGTGGTGAAATTCAATTTTTTTAATACTGGTTCTGTGGACGTGGCTTGGTGGGCATGGCAGGGGAGGGATACTGCAAAATCTCCATTCCCTCCCCACTCAGGGGACAGCCAGAGGTAGCATTTGCTGGTTCTCCAAACTACTCAAAATTTCTGCTACTGGTTCTCCAGAACCTGCTGAATTTCACCCCTGGTATGATGTGTGTGTTTTCCTGGCTCCAACTCTCAAGGAGACTCTGCCCTCCACACTTGGTCAGTCAACAGAGAAACACAGGATGGGGCTTAATGGATGAGTTTCACTTACAGAGCAGGAACAGAGTCTCAAATCCCAAGAGTAAGGCAGTCACAATTTTCACAGGAATCCACCACTCTGTAGTTAAGGAAGGAGAAACATGGTTCTGATTAGAGAGGTGCTGAGTTTCCTGAAGTGGAGACTCTAAGTAATGGAAGCTTTTCCCAACTTGCATTGGCCTCCAGGAAGTGCCCCCACCTGAAGGGAGCCCCTCCCCCCAAGGCTGAAGGGGGAAGAATGAATGGCTTTGAAGGGCAAAAGGAAAGGTCACAACAAGGCAGTGGTCAGATAATGGGGAATTCAGCCTGGGCCAAGAAATCAGGTTAAGCACACATGTGAAGTCCCTCCCTAGTTCACTTGAAGATAAATGGAAAGAGGGGGAAGCAGGTTTCAGATTGTAAGATTCTATCACTATAATTTTATAATAAAAGTATTATATGACATTGGTTCCTTATTCTGGTCTACCTGGTGGACTGACACAGTCTGCTGAAAAGGTCATTGAATGACAAAGTATAACTTGTTCTATCACAACATTCTACCAGATAGGAAAACATATTTTCCATCTCTGCAGATATCCTATTGTATCCTATCCTACCCTACCCTATCCTACCCTACCCTACCCTACCCGGCTTTTCAGATCATCTCTCTATGGTCACTGTTCCCTCTAAGGTGCGCGCCTGCGCGGCCGCGCACATGAAAAGAAATCCCCGCGCAGAGGTTTCTAACTGCCGCGCAGAGATTTCTACCAAGGCAAACATGGGGAAGTCCTTTGCAGGCGGCCAGAAATGGCCGCCTGCAAAGGA